CTGAAAAAAACTCAGTCCTATGGATCTTTGTTCTGTCGAGTGATTATTGAAAAATCATTGTTAGCAATGTAACACAAAGAAGACAAGGATTTTTACTAGTGCATTTCAATTCTGCAAGTTCAAACAGTATTTTAGAAAGCTTACTTGTATGTTTTGTAGAGAATTATTCAGGTTAAAAAATCTATATGTCAAGTTTTTTCTAAACATACTTAAACTTTTCAAAAAAGAAATGAGTTTATTCGATGTTATAGACATGAATGAGCACAAATATAGAAATGATAAATCCTCTTTTCACTGAATGAGAAGTTCAAATATTAATTCTAAATGTTATAAATCTTTCTTGAAGATCACGAGATGATAGTAACTCTGATTATGCGCATATACAATTCATTTTTACTATATAATATGCTAATTATAGAAATTTTTGACGTCGCAAGAAAAGATTTTTCTGTGTAACAGAGAATCTATTCAATTCGCTAAGAACACTTTCAAAAGATCGAATATTGATCTAAAATGCATATAACTATATTCGACTTATTTCTAATACGAGAGTTAATTTTAATGAGTAAAATTTGTTCTTTTTTCTAAATTGTATTTGTCTATATTAATCATTTACAAGTAAAATACCATTGTTAAAATGTTTTTCATTATTGGCATTTGTTATCAGTTTCTCAATTTACTATATTTATTGTCTATTTTTTTCAAGTATTTGTCTTTAAATATTGACAAAAGAAACGTGCAATATGGTGCCTTCATTTTATTTAAATTATTTAAGCATGAACTGATATCAAATACCAGTATTGTTAAAGAAATAAAGCAAAAAATGTGAAGAATTTACGATTATTTCTTTCGATGAGAGTCGAAAAATGTTCTTCCTGAATTAATTATAAGTAAATGACTATGTTCAAGTTTTTAGTTTATTTTCAAAAATATTTTTCATCAAATCGGGAGAGAACATAATGATAAACATATAATTCATTTGATGTATCAATATTAAACAAAAATATCAGATTAAACTTAGCGAATATATCAAAAATTCTGCATATAGAATGAAAAATAAATAATTAGCTCTTCAGTATGTGTCAGGTAATTCTAGGTAAATATTACATTATAAAATCAGCTGATGCTGTAGTTACCGAAATTTCAATGAAAAATTTTTTTTTATTTGATTCATTTATTATTCTGTTACAAACTTTCAATGAATATCATATTCTTCTGATGAAGGTGAATGATAGTCATCGAATGTTCGAGATAGAATTGAAAAAAAAATTCATTACATTCTTTTTTGTGTACTCAAAAAGTGAGTACACTCTAGAATCGGTCAGTATGGCCGTCCCACCGTATACACGATAACTTTCGAAAGGAGAGTCAAATCATGATGAAATTTTCTACACAGTTTAGTCTCATCAATGTCTCGGTCGAGTTCGAAGATGAGCCTGATTGGAGGAGCTTTTCCTGAGTTATTGCAAAAATACTGATTTTTCCCTATGGTCTCTTGTGCGAAAATCGACCTATACCCGCTTTCATAAAAAACTTTTCCTATCATAGTCAAAATAAAACCCCAACTATTATATACCATTCGATAGAGAATTTNAAAATGATCTGAAAAATCTGATAGGTATTCTTGTGTACCTTTTCGTTTTGGTGCTTTTTCATCGAAAACCTTTTTGAGTATCCAGACACCGAAAACGGTTAAAACGTTTGCTAGAAATCTATGATGGTTTCCGAATTTATCTAAGAAACCATGCGGGGTTTGCGAATCTTTTTAGGCTTTTGAGTTTCCGAATAAGTGATCTCAGAAACCCGTTCATTACTGTAGAAAATCTGAATAGCATCAAAAAGAATTGCTGATTGCTTCGCTTTCTGCCAATACTATTTACAGGTTTACGAGTTTCTCAAGATCCAAAACAGAAATCTTGTTCGATGTATATGAAATCTTTTATAAAATTATAGAACTATTAGAATTTAAAATAGTGGTCTATTCCCAAGAGAATCATATCTAATGGTTACATCCATGATTATCAACATATGAGACTGAATTGAATGACAGATCTGGCTTGAAAATTGAAGAGTTGTGACAAATCGTCATGTCCTTCAAAGAATTTCGTCATTTTTCTTCCTCGTTGATTTATGTTTCGTCTCATATGCGAAACATTAATATCTTTGAACAAAGATTACAGCGATGTACAAGGAAGTTTCTGAAGCAAAAAGAATTTTTTTCATTGATTTACACAAAGCACTGATAGACAAGGAATGATTGAAACCGTTCAAAAGTCTTCATTTCTATGAGAGTGAAACAGCCATTGTTATTGTAGAAGAGAAAGTAAAAATTGTCGAAATGTGTTTACATGAACAGTGATTGACCAGTGTACGATTGTATTTTCTTTTTCTTTTGTCATATGTAAACTTTGTATTTCAAATAAAAATAAAGGAAAGCGCCTCTATAATAAACAGATGTTTCATAATGCATATGCGTTCTACTATTGTTCACTTTAACCGATTTCAAATTGATTGTCATCTGAATGTGATTGTTTGCTAGTTGTCCTCTCTTTTGATATGTAAACTTTTCAAATTAGATTATTCAGATCGAAATCCTCGGAAAACAAAATAAATATATAATATCAAAAACTTGTCGTATTTTGCTTTAATCGTTTTAATGTGTGTTCTTCTATAGCTACAGAATTCGAAGAACTTCTCAAAAATAGCTCTCTGTTTTCGTGAAACAGTCTAAAATACTTTTCGTTTATCTAAAAGCTGTTCAACAAAATTTCGATGATTTATGAAGACTTATTTTTCTCTCAATATACTTTTTGTCCAAAGCATACTCAAATTAGTCAAAGACATGCAACACAGATTTTTTTAAAATTCGCTTCATGATAGGTGGAAATAAAATTTATTCTTCAGGCCTTCTAATATTGTCATCCTAACAAAGATCCACGTAACCCATATTTAAAACATTCTAAGCACTGCTTTTGTTGTTTTTTATAGATGATTACTTCTGATCCAACATGCGTAAGATTTTTAAGAATAAATAATACAAGAGTAAAATTTGAAAGAAAATATAATAAAACGAATTATGCTCGTTTGATATTAATAACACATTCAAAAATTCCGAGAATTAAAAACTAATTTCAAGTACAAAATGTTGCTTCAATTGGTGTAAATCGTCCTCAAAAAATATGATATATGAAACTATTCTTTTGTTTTAGTTCAGATATAAATTCTGTATTACAAACAGCTGATGCTATACTTGAATTGCGTAGTGCTAATAATGAAAACATACGTCTTATATTAATATCTGTTTTTTTTTCTTTGTAATCATCGTGTTTCAATGGCCTATAATTAAATTTTTATTGCTATTTATATTTCTCTCAGAAACCTATTAAATAAATATTTTCGAGATTCACATAAACAAGCTACTCCTGGTAATGATTCAAAAGGAGAGTTAGCTTGATTGTATTCTAAATGAAAGCAAAACTGACACTTTCGGGAGTAATAAATTTATATGCAAAAGAACGACATCTTATAAATGACAACAATTTTCTCCGTGATTTACTTTTACTTTTGTCGATTTTCCTTCTTCAAACATCACAACATTAGAGCAATCCATCCATGCACATGCGTTTGTCTAGAACGCGAAAAATAAATAAAATTCTAATTTTGAACAAAACAGACTTGAAGAAGCAAAGATAAATAAACTAATATTTTTTCAGAATTATGAGTATATAAAATTCCGAATAAAATAAAATAAAAATGTCTTATAGAATATTTTGTAGAACTAAACTTTGAAGGTTATTCTACTACGCTTAAAACCTAGCAAGTAGAATGTTGTATTTTATTGCCTGACCTTCTATGAATAATCTCATTAAAAATATTCTCATTTTTCTTCGCTTGGATTCCGCTGTTTCCGTATTCTACAACAAACTAAATCATCATGACTGCGATAGTATTGTCATGACCGTCTGCTGCTCTTGCTTTACTCTAACCCCATCATTTTATCTTTCTAGGGTTTCTTTTTGCGTTCATCTAATTCTCTTATTTTCTCTTACATAAATATATTTCGATTATGAAGTTATTACATTACAGTTTTTTTTAATTCTGTGAATAAGTGTCATCATCGATGGTGCCAGTGAACTATGTTTCTATTTTATCCTTGGTATAACTATTTCACTTTTTGTTGAAGGTCAATATGTTATCCTAAAAAAGAAGACCATTGGAGACTTTGTAAGGGAATATAAAAATTACAGCATCCATTCCTAAATTTTCAAGTATAATTTGACGAGATCTATCAAATTATGAAAACTGATTCATGATAGATCCATACGACTTTAAAAAAACTAACAAAAAATATTATATTTTCTCCTATTAGATGAGTATTAGACAAGTTTTTCCTGGATTGTTTCGTCTAGTAGAATACTTTAACGAACATATTCCATGTTAGAAATAAATTATAATGAGTCCTACTATTTGTTGTAAATAGTATTTCAATGCTGTACAAAATGTATCATCTAACTTGTTTAGTTCGTGTGAAATACTGACGTAAGTATTTCGAATTTTCAAGATCCACTTTACGTTCTGTAACGAGTTTGCAAGAGAAAACAAAGTTACTACTGCTGCTCTCTTACACTATCTCTTCAACAACTTTCTTTCAGTCAGTAGAATGTATGTTTCATGTCTTCTTCTTCTCTTAGGTATTGAAAGTCTATTTTCCAAATGTCGATTTGGTTCAGAAGCTATGATATGGTGTAAGATGATGAAGAGTAGGCTAGTTTTAACTTTTATGACTAAGTGTGATTCGTCAGAAACTATAGCAGAAGTATGAGTATCTGAAACAGATTTAGTTAAGTGGATTGACTGGAATAAACTGGAACGCTACTGAGAATCATCTTTTCAAAAAATCCTGTACTCATGAAATTTTCAAATCTGGACTATGTCAAATTTGCATTCTAGATTATTCTGCTGAATCAATTTATTCTGACGTTATTTCACAACTTTCATTGATGGCTGACGATCAAAGTTCGAATGATACAGAAATAATTTCATTTGCTAGTAGCGAAATTTCTTTACCACGTGTTACTCGCTTTTGGATGCTTCTTCTCTTTGACGTTTCGTCAACTATATGTGCATTGTTTGTTCTATTCTGTGTCCTTATTAATCACAAGCTACGCTCTACTGTGAATAATCATGCTCTCATCGTTTTACTCTTTCTTGGATTGAGTCTTCAATTAATTGATGTTCCGTTTTATCTCAATTTTATCATACATTCAAGTGTTACTCCTTCTAATGGCTGGATTTGTCTTTTATGGTGGCTTGTGGATATTGGCATGTACAATGGAGGAACCATAATTTTAGCTTGGATAGCATTTGAACGACATATCATAGTATTTTATGATCAATTGATTTCAACAAGAAAAAAACGTATACTGATACATTATTTGCCAATGCTTTTCTTAATACTATATAGTTTTGCTTATTATATTTATGCTACTTATTATTTTCCATGCGAAAATATTTATGATTACACATTACCATTCTGCAATGGCTCTCCCTGTTACCTAAGTGATCCTATTATGGGGATTTGGAATTTTATTATCAATAGTGCTTTGCCGTCATTTTTAGAAGCATTCTTTAGTTTATCTTTCCTTTTTCGAGTCTTCTGGAAGAAATATCATTCTCATTTACCAATGCAATGGCGTAAACAACGAAAGATGACCATTCAGCTTATGTCTCTCTCTTCTTTGAATATGGCTGTCACTTTCCCAATTGGTGTTATTGGAGTTGCTCATTTATGTGGCTTACCACAAGATGTCGGAGTTCAAGTCAATCAGTATTTCTTTTTCTTTTCTTATTTCGTTATTTTTCTGATTCCCTTCATTTGTCTTGCATCAATAAGTGGTGTCAACAGAAAGTTTCAAGAAAAAATACTTTGTCGTCGACAACGACAAGTTCAACGGTTCACTGCAACAGTGAAACCTGAACATTTTAAGTCAAATATAACAATGCAGCATTAAACGAAACATTTTGAAACTATTTTACTGATTTTTTTGATTCAATAATCTTGAAATAAAGTGAAAAAAGTCAATCTAAAAATAAAAGGTGATTGCCTCCTTTCTATGTTGTATTGAATTCCAAAAAGCACATAAATTATTAATGATCGATTTTGTTACTTACTAGTCCGATCGGATGTAACTACATAAGAGTATGGAAGAAAGAGAAAAAAAAATTAGAATTTCATAAGACAGAATCTAGAATAAATAAGTACAACTTCATCAACGAGACACTGAGCTACTATATAATACTTTCAACAATAGAATGCAGAAAATAATGAAAAATAAAAATGACGAAGAAAAGAGAAAAACAGGAATTGGATAGAGATAATTACAAAAACAGGATAGAATGAAAAGAAAGTATCGAAAATAGCTTGTGAGCACAGCCTCTTTTGTGCTAAAATGTGGGATTGACGTATGCTCTCCAGTCTCATTAAATTAATAACAATATACAACGTGACAAATGTCTGATAAATTATAGCTATTCTGCACGATAATCGATGTGTAGAGCAACGGTTTTACAGATACGTTCTATGGTGCCCCCATTTATTTACTTTCATTATTGCTAACCCAAGCGCTATTTTTCCTTTTCATATTTTATTTTTCGTAATTTCACTTTATTATTTTTCTAGTCATTGATTTCACACGTACGGAAAGTTAGCACAAGATTCGAGTAAAACCCGCAAAAATTTGCCCAGGACATTGTTCCAAATAGTTGTCTGTTGTGATAAAGAATTGACAACAAAACCGACCTAGACGCTACATTCAAGAAAAAATTCCTTCGTTCAGGCATAGTTAGCTAATAAGAAAATTACTCAACTTAAAAACAAAAGTAAAATTAATACCAGATTCATCTATTCTGTTGTGCTAGATGCAGAATGTCAATTAGTAAAGTTTTTTTTCGAAAAGTATGTGTGTCAAAGTTTGCATCTAATACATCTGAATTCAGAATCAGCAAAATTGTATAGGCGAATCTGCTACTAACTTTATTTTCCTTATTCTACTCATCTTCTTGATGGTTATTATGAGTTTTTTCAAATAATTAGGAAAGAAAGACATATGCCACATTTATTATTTTGAAAACGACTAAAACTGAAAAACTAGCAACAGTCCGTAGTGTTAGAAGAAAATTGTTTTTCGAAATGTAGAATATTGTTACGTACTATGTGGAAAGACAAATGAATTACAATTCAACTCAATTTATGTTTAATTATATTTACAAAGTAGCTCTAGTAATTATCAAAATAATTTATACACAAAAGGATGTTACCATCGATACATTAAAGTAATGATATCCGGAAACGGATAACAAGTCGACAGAAACGTAATGGTATTACAAAGTCTATTTGAAATGCAGAACATAAATAGATATTGGATTTTCCTATAGGGCAATTATTTAAGAATAAATGAAATGACGACATATGTTTCATGTAACGTCATTAAATATCAAATTCATTGGTAACTATTAAAAAATTTGTAAAAATTTATGAAAGAACATTTCCAACTGTCGAATATCGTTAGAGTTCATATTTCGACTTTGAATCCACAGGATATCTAAACAGAAATCTGAAATTTTTAATACAGAGTTTTTATTTGACATAGAAGATTAAATCATATTCACTCAAAACTATGCATAAATAATTTCAAAACAATGTTCATTCAAGTCTGTTGTACAATGGAAAAAAAACAACATAAACTTTTTCCTTTCTTTTTTGCTAAACAAAGTAGCAGTAACGACAACGTAAAACTTGTTGTAATGATATCCAGTGAAGAAATGGCCGAAATAGTATCCAATGACATTGCGTGCACGAGATGAAAACAGAGAGAAAAGATTCTTAATGCATCTTTGAATAAACGCAAATGTCATGCATATTTTATGAATTTAAGAACAATTTGAACAATCTTCTGAGAACAGCAAAGACAGACTAGTTTCATAATCTTGTTTCTTACATCAATATTTGAAATCAATCAAGCTTGATAATATTGTGCAGGCACTTAACTGGACCTTTCATTTTGTCAGGTGTAAAAAAACACAATTACTAAGTAAAAATAGCTCATACATGTCTTGTAAAAAAGAGATAAAAATAATTCTTGCTCTTAGTATTTCAAGTAAATTTTATTTTTATTCAATATCTATTTATTATTACATGACTTAATACAACAAACATTTGTTTTATCTTCCTCTCAAGAAGAACTGTAGTAAAATGTTTTTGACTTTCTGCTTCTTAGTTCCTATGAAACAATACGTAGTCGTCTTTGTATTGCTTTTTTATATTGTTGACAAGCTTTGAAAAATTCTTGTTTGTATGATCTTGAAGGAAGAATAAATACAATGAACGTGAGTATGGATGGCATGAATGATATAAAATATCCGCTAAAAAATAGCCATGGATCATTAATTGATTTCATACAATGTGAAATAAGAGAAATAATTAAACGTGGAATAGCTAGAATGATCAAAACAATCGGTGCGATCAGTAAGTGACTATGTTGTTTCAATTGTTTATATAAAATGTTTCGATAACTTTCATTAGTTTGAGCCGTCCTACGCTTTCGAGTAGTCATTATAATAATGATTATACCCGAAATCAAATTTATAGTAAATGGTGTCAAAAAATGAAATATATTTACTAATGTATTAAATGTTTGAAAACTAGATGAATAAGTAACAATACACCATATTCTTTTCTCATTGCCATCTTCATCATCATTATTATCATCTATCAAACGTCTATGAATAGGATCATGAATATTAGTAATAATATTTAAAAATATAAGTATAATAATAATATATTTAGCCATTTGTTTACTTTTCTTCTTATTAAAACTAGTTCCTTTTATTGTAGTAATAACTCGTTCAATAGCTATACATGTAGATAACCATTGATCCATATTAAGACTAATGCGTAATAAAAAGTCGATTGAAGTGCATTGTAATTTTAAGAATAAACGGTTTTCAATATATGTTATTTGTGCAATAAGAAGAATCGAAGATTTCAATGCAAATATAATCATTGTAAACAAAGCACTAATTGATGTAGATATTAGATAAATACCACAACCAATTTTACGAGCTTCTTTGCCATTCATTGCAATCAACGATAAAACACTATTAATTAATCCTATAAGAGTGATAAGGATTGTTAATACTATAGTTAATTTAACAATAAGAGATTGATGATTGATGACAACATGTGGTCGAATATGATAACCTATAATTGCATCAAGTGAAAGACCAAATGCATTCGAACTAAATTGACAACGTTTTCCATAAAAACATGTCTGACAAACACATACTGATGTTCGTGGACATGTGGGTTTATCTTGTAAACATTGTGCTCCATGTTCACAATTACTTTCACCAAAACAATCGAATTTCTTTTTATAATCGAATTCAAAACAATTGGCTAAACGTTCTTCTCCATAATTATTACATAAACAAAAGTAATCATCATCATAAAAACAAGATAATAATGGTGAATATTTTTGACATGGTAAATGATAATATTTAATACGACGAATAAGATGAAGTTTAGCAATAGTCTCATTCAATATTTTACCTATATATGGACAATGATCTGATGCTTGAATTTCTCGAACGATTGTTTTTGATTGATAATAAACTTTTTTAACAGTAATTAAATAGTAATTTTTATCAAAAAGTTCAACAAAAGCAATATTAAATGGATTTGACCAATAAATAATTATTTCTTTTTGATGAATAGGAATTATTTTGAAAGTACTACCATTTGTAGGTGGAGCATTATCCATCACTTGAATAAAATGAATAAGTAAAGTATCTGGTAAATCAATATCACGATGAAATGATAAAATAATTTTATTATCAACTATTTCACATCTTTCTCCAGTGAAACCTTTTCGACAGATACATTTAAAATTTCTGTTGGATATTATATGTTCATCAGTAGGCATACATTGTCCATTATTGTTACATGTAATATTATGATTCGAATGACATATAGTACTTTGCAGTAAGCATCGAGAACCCCATTTATTCATAGGACAAACACAGATAGATCGATTATTTGCTAAAATACCGATGCATAATGAGTCGGATGAACATGTACAATTATGAAAAATATTGCAATATCTTCCAGACCATCCAGGATAACAATGACAGAAAGTATTATTGTTGGTATTACCTGAATATTTAATACATTTACCATGAATACATTGTTGATTTGAACAACTTTCCACAATATTAGTACGTGAAATATTAAGTTGTACAGCAACACGATGTACAGGTAAAAATGGAAATTTAAGTGGTATTAAATAACTTTCTCGATATGCGAGTGACATTTTCTCATAAATATCAATATGTATTGAATATTTCTTTTTATGATCCTTTGGTCGAGTTGAGTATAGTAAATACATGTTAAATTTTATTTTACAATCTCGTTCATATAAATAGCTAAATTGTTGATGTGAATGAATAATTCTTTCATTACTATCATCAATAAGTAAGACAAGAATAGCAAATAAAGTATTTGGAGAGTCGGAATGTGTTTGAAATGGTA